TTTTTGAGGCAGAGTCTTGCTCTGTCGCCAGGCTGGAGTGCAGTGGTGTGATCTTGGCTCACTGCAACCTGCGCCTCCTGGGTTCAAGTGATTCTTGTGCCTCAGTCTCCTGAGTAGCTGGGATTACAGGCATGTGCCACCACACCCAGCTAATTTTTGTATTTTAGTAGAAACGGGGTTTCACCATGTTGGCCAGCATGGTCTCGATCTCCTGACCTCCTGATCTGCCTGCCTTGGCCTCCCCAAATCCTGTGATTACAGGTGTGAACCACCATGTCCTGCTGAGTTCAGAATTTTAACTAAGACCATAGAGATGCTCAGCCTGGTGAGAGATGCAGGAGGAAGGCCGGTGGTGGAGTGCTGAGAGGTAACATGATCCCTGCCCTTTGCTTGCTTATTTATTTATTTATTTATTTATTTATTTATTTATTTATTTATTATTTGAGAAAGAGTTTTGCTCTTGTCACCCAGATTGGAGTGCGATGGCACGATCTCGGCTCACTACGACCTCCGCCTCCCAGGTTCAAGTGATTCTTCTGCTTCAGCTCTCGTGTAGCTGGGATTACAGGCATGCGCCACCACGCCCGACTAGTTTTGTATTTTTAGTAGAGTCAGGGTTTCTCCATGTCGGTCAGGCTGGTCTTGAACTCCTGACCACAGGTGATCTGCCCGACTTTGCCTCCCAAAGTGCTGGGATTACAGGCATGAGCCACCACGCCTGGCCTATTTATTTATTTTTTTGAGATGGAGTCTTGCCCTGTCGCCCAGGCTGGAGTGCAGTGGCAGGATCTTGGCTCACTGCAACCTACGCCTCTCAGGTTCTAGCAATTCTCCTGCCTCAGCCTCCCTAGTAGCTGTGATTACAGGCACGCACCACCACACCTGGCTAATTTTTGTATTCTTAGTAGAGACGGGGGTTTCACCATGTTGGCCAGGCTGGTCTCCAACTCCTGAACTCAAGTGATCTGCCTGCCCTGGCCTCCCAAAGTGCTGGAATTACAGGCGTGAGCCACTGCGCCCAGCTACCCTTTCCAGATTCTTAACAGTCCCTAGATGGTATTAAGTAGCATTTTTGTTTGTTTTTGTTTTTTGAGACGGAGTCTTGCTCTGTAACCAGGCTGGAGTGCAGTGGCGTGATCTTGGCTCACTGCAACCTCCACCTCCTGGGTTCAAGCAATTCTCCTGCCTTAGCCTCCTGAGTAGCTGGGACTACAGGCACACGCCACCATGCCCAGCTAATTGTTTGTATTTTTAGTAGAGATGGAGTTTCACTATGTTGGCCAGGATGGTCACGATCTCTTGACCTCGTGATCTGCCCAACTCGGCCTCCCAAAGTGCCGGGATAACAGGTGTGAACCACCGTACCCGTCCTGGGGTAGATTTGTTTGCTTGTTTGTTTGAGATAGGGTCTTGCTCTGTTGTCCAGGATGGAGTGTAGCGGTGTAATCTCGGCTCACTGCAACCTCCATGTCCTGGGTTCGAGCAATTTTCTTGCCTCAGATTCCCAAGTAGTTGGAATTATAGGCACACACCACCACGCCTTGCTAATTTTTGTATTTTGCTAGACAGGGTCTCGCCATGTTGGCCAGGCTGGTCTTGAACTCCTGACCTCAAGTGATCCACCCACCTCGGCCTCCCAAAGAGCTGGGATTACAGGCATGAGCCACCATGCCCAGCCTGGTGCTGGGAATCTGAAGAAGGAATAGTAACCCTGCCTATGGTAGGTGGGGAGATTGCATAGAGGCAGAGCCCTTGGAAAGAAACACTTGAAGGATGAGGAAGAGTTTAACTGATTCGGAAAAAGGAAAAGCTCAATGTGGGTAGAGAGCCAAGGATGTTTGGAAGAGTGAGAGATGGGGTGATGAGGCCAGCTGAAGGAGGCTTTGGCAGTCAGGCCAGAATTCAGACTTGACTCTGAGTTACTGGGGAGTTCCTAAAGGATTTCGAGCAGCGGAGTTCCTTGGCCAGGATTCTGAAGGAAAATCTCTCCGGCAGTGGTTTCCAAAGACCTGGAGTCCTTTTATGAATCCATTGTCTTAGCTGGAAAATGGATGGCCTTACCCACTCCCAATCCCATCATGGCTTCTGGTCCACTTAAACCATGAGAATTTTTTTCTTTTTCTTTTTTTGAAACAGGGTCTTGCTGTGTTGCTCAGGCTGGAGTGTAGTGGTGTGATCACAGCTCACTGCAGTCTTGATCTCCTGGGCACATGCAATCCTCCCACCTCAGTCTCCCCAGTAGCTGGGACTACAGGATTGTACCATCATGCCTGGCTAATTTTTAAAGTTTTTGTAGAGATGGTAGAGGGGCACATCCCTCTGTTGCCCAGGGTGGTCTTGAGCTCCTTGGCTCAAGCAGTCCTCCCTCCTCTGCCTCCCAAAGTGCCGAGATTATAGGCGTGAGCCACCTTGCCTGTCCTGGGAACTGGTTTTTAATCAGCTTATCAAAACCTTCATCTCACTTGCTAACAAAGGGAGCCGCTTCCTTCCTCTCTGCACATACCCCATGTCTCACCATGATAATGGAGTTACAGTGGGACTTGGAATCCAGATGTGTGAAAGATGGAGGGGTTGAAGGTGCATAGAGGGGTGATGGGCAAAGGGGTCCAGGAGGTGATAACCCCAGGTATTCTTGGCCTTGGCCTTCCCCACCTCTCTGGGAATGGGCCAGTTTGAGCATCTCAGCTGCCTCTTCTGCCCGCCCACTCGTTAGCCGCACTCAGCTTCCTGCCCCACCAGAGGAAGTGGGGAGAGACGGCAGGTGCAGTGATGGCTGGCGGAGTCATGGTGAGTCCTTATGCCCAGAAACCCAGGCATCTCGGCCCCCAGCCCCCTATGCCTAGGGTCCCCAGACCCCACTGACTCTTCCTAGCCCAGGAACTCAAATGATCCTGGGGACCCTGCCTGCCATTGCCAGCAGCCTCATATTGTCCACCCCCATCCACAGGACAAGGAGTACGTGGGTTTTGCTGCCCTCCCCAACCAGCTGCACCGCAAGTCTGTCAAGAAGGGGTTTGACTTCACACTAATGGTGGCAGGTCTGGGGGGTTTTGGAGAGGGAACTGCAGAGAGGATGCCCTTAGGAGACCCTGGTTGTCCCCTCCCCTGACCAGCTGGGCCTGTTCTGTCCACAGGGGAGTCAGGCCTAGGGAAATCCACCCTCATCAACAGCCTCTTCCTCACCAACCTCTATGAGGATCGCCAGGTGCCAGAGGCCAGTGGTAAGACCCTCCCCACCCTCCCCAGGCAGTGGCCCCTGTCCCCAGGTTACACCCTAGTCTTTTCCATCTGGGGACTCAGGTAGTTGACTACTTTTTTCTGAGACTTTCCTCCCCTGGAAAATGGGTGCAGGCAACTGTGATATTAACAAAGGAAATTAATCTTGCCTCAGAGCCTCCCTGGATCCCTGACCTCTCCCCCCTCCCACAGCTCGCTTGACACAGACCCTGGCCATTGAGCGCCGGGGTGTGGAGATCGAGGAAGGAGGTGTGAAAGTGAAGCTAACCCTTGTGGACACGCCTGGCTTTGGGGACTCAGTGGACTGCTCTGACTGGTGAGGAAGAGGGAAGGGGACAGAGGCTCAGCCTCTCACAGTGGCGACTCCCTGAAGACCAACGGGTCAGTTACAGGGCTGGTTTGTGCTGGCTCCCTATTCCAAAAGGTTGTGTCTGTTTTAGAGGGTCACTGGGTCTCTGTGCTTCTTGATGACTTGCCTAGGCCCCCACCAGTTCCCTTTAATGTCTTTGGAGGGAGCCAAAGAAATGATGTTCTACTCCCACAGTCCTGGCTAGCCTCGCCCCCTGCCCTCTGGCCTTTGATCTCTGACCTCACATCCTCTTCCCACACCCAGCTGGCTTCCCGTGGTGAAATTCATCGAGGAGCAGTTTGAGCAGTACCTTAGGGATGAGAGTGGCCTGAACCGGAAGAACATCCAGGACTCCCGCGTCCATTGCTGCCTCTACTTCATCTCACCCTTTGGCCGGGGGTCTGGTGGGGGGATCCTGGGGGCTGGGGCATTTAGGGAGGGCTGGGGGGTCTCTGCCCCCTGAGGCTGGGCACTAACCAATCCCTGGGTGCAGGCTCCGGCCCCTAGATGTGGCCTTCCTTCGGGCGGTACACGAGAAAGTCAACATCATCCCAGTCATTGGCAAAGCGGATGCCCTGATGCCCCAGGAAACCCAGGCCCTCAAGCAGAAGGTGTGAGTGATGACCTCTGGCCTTTGACCCCAAGTGAGGCCAAACCTGATTTCAGCTTAGACTTCTTTGATCTTATTTTTTTTTTTTTTTTTTTTTTTTGAGACGGAGTCTCGCTGTGTCGCCCAGGCTGGAGTGCAGTGGCGTGATCTCGGCTCACTGCAAGCTCCGCCTCCCAGGTTTTCACCATTCTCCTGACTCAGCCTCCTGAGTAGCTGGGACTACAGGCGCCCGCCACCGCGCCCGGCTAGTTTTTTGTATTTTTTAGTAGAGACGGGGTTTTACCATGTTAGCCAGGATGGTCTCGATCTCCTGA